AAGTGTATCGCCTATAGGCCTACTGTATGTTCGTGCTACATGCTAACATTAAAACTTAAAACACGTATAGTTACGTTTATTAATACTTTTAGAAAGATCTGAAAGACATTCATGTTAGAAGTCTGTAAATTAGGCCTAATTTACTTGATTAATGTCAAAATAATTTATTTGACCCACACATGGATTCTTGAGGGTAAAGTTAATAATGCGAGTTTAGCTGCTCAGATATGCTTGTTGGGTGTGAGAATTTTGCTTAAACAACGATTTTAGAAATAATGCTTTGATTACATTTCTGAGCAAATGGGTGTCATTGTAAGTATTGGCTAAACCACTTCAGACCTGTTTGCAGAAAGTTTGGGGATGAAAAGCTCTCAGTGTAAAATCAATTGTAATTATAGTGCCACATCTATTCAAAATCTATTAAATGAATATTCAAAATGTGGCTATTTGAATAGCATTCCTGGTGCTAACAACGAAGTTATGGTTTTTGTTTAAATCCCACAAAACACCTATAAAATGTACCTTGAATGCAATGGAAGTTGCGTTGGATAAGCCAAATGCATAAATTAAAACCAGCCATAGCCTAATTATTCTCTTTGTACACTATGTAAAAAGGTTTCATGGCTGTTATATTACATCATTACAATGTCCATAAACAGGATGAAAGGACTGAAATTTATTATTGGAAATCCTAACATTACTATTAAAGGAAATCCCATCCTATTTGTGATATATAAACTTTGGAAAATATTTTAAAGGATTGTACAAATTCTTGTAAACAAATCACTAGCCTATCTAACCCATAAATTACAAATGTTGTTCATAATATTAAACAATACAATGCGGAGACCGCTGTCAAGTTCAATTCAACTGCTCCACACATTTCCACTCTTTTGTTTTTTAGATTGAGCTGTTAATTTCATTTAGTTTATAAAAAAATAATTTAAAAAAACTGTAATTAATGTGCTCACAGATGCAACATCTGTCAATTCTGTAATTAATTTACACTGATGTAGAAAATATATTAAATGAATGCAAGGACACTAAAGGGCTCCAGGGAACAATTGTAATAATGCACATGCAGTCACCCCAATTACTATGAGATTTTATTGTGGAATCAAGCAATTATTTCCTCTTGTAAACAAAAGGAGCTTTGTTGAGCATATGTTAATCGAAGAATCACAACGACACAAATTTGGTTTTGTCTAACATTATTTGGCTGAGAATAAAAGTATTTGTAACAGAACACAAACACCTGTTCATTTATTAGCCTATATGTAAATAGCCTATATATAAATCTGAGCATTTAGTTGAATATTATACGATTAGTTGCTGAGAAGAGTTTAATTCTGTGATGTTTTCAAACCATGAATGACTATGCAGCAGGACCCATGCAGCTGCTTGTCCTCCTTGGCAATATTTTTGCGCAATCCACCTCCGAAACCCCCCTCCTCACACATTGACTTTGTTTGATATGTTGCAGTAGACCTTTCTCAGTCAGCAGGAAATGAACTGAACATATTAAAACCATGGTCATGCCAGAAAAATCAAATTGATCGCCCTATATGGTCAACACTATCTGACACAATAATAATGTATTTATTGTTGTGATTTCCAAATGATTTTAAGGGCTACCTAATAAATATATACTGTGTTGACAGTGTATTTTTGAATAAAATGTATTAAATGTAGTAGCAGCGGGAAATTATCTATTTACATTTACTTAAAATTAATAGGAAACAATTTTTAAACTGTGATATAGGCTAGGTAAGGTGGTAATACAAAATGCAATGTATTTGATGGACTTTTTTTCTTTCTTTCAAATAGGGCTATATTGTTTTTGTTTTTTCATACGTTTAATATAGACATATATGTATTTTTAATCGGCTATTTTTGTGTAATTGCCTGAGGACAAGTGGGTTTTTATTTATTTTTTAATTTATTTTTTACAATGATTATTATAAAGTTGTGGGATATGTTCGTCCCACGTCTCAAGGATCAAAGAGCGATTTTTGCTAAATAAGAATTTTTTTAATGGACCTACATTTCCGTAATTTTATACAACCCACCTAACTGCATACTGTAATAACTTATAGGGATGCTGCTGTCAGTAAAGCAAAATATGACTAAACAAAAAAATATATATATAGAAAAGTTTCAATAAAGTCTAGCGTGAGGCAGCATTTGTGTTTATGTCGCTCGCGGTGTGCGCCACTGTTTGGATCTCCATGCGGATGTGACATTTCAGAGAGGAGCGCGACCGCCATTTTGAGTTTTACCTCAAACTGAACACCATAAACCACGGGAGCGGGTGAGAGAGGCTCTGGCCGTGACCGGGCAAAATTATCTTTTCTCGTTTGAATAGCCGCTTGGGATGCAGCTTCGGTGTACAATTGCGCGTTAGGGGTTCAGGTTAGATTCACAAATAACGGCGAGGCGAAACGCAGTCATTTTAGTGAGTTTAAACTTCTAAATTAGTGCGATTTCACATTAGAGTCTGGTTTGAATGGATAGGTTTTTTCTTCGTTCCCCCCCAGAAGAGGGACAATCGGAGGAGCACACGGACTGGAAATATTGCAGGGAAAGTTGTATTTAAAATAATCTTGCGGAGGCGCATGAGCTGCGCTGTTTCTTGTTTTATCACTTTTGTTAGCTCCAGCTGGGCTATCTGTGTTTTCCCCGGCTGCAGGTTGTTGTGAGTTGCAATCGCCCCGCACTTCTACGGGGGAAAGTCGGGGTTTCATTCATCGGGCCTTCGTGAAGCAGAAGCCCGAGGCCTCCGACTATCCTTACCGTTAGCATCCCTTCACCCAGGCGCCGAGATTGGGCGAATAGCGAGCAAATACGTCCGCGTTTCTCTGCCTGCTCCCCCACCGGCCTCCCTTCCTCCATCCCCGGCGCTGACAGCAGACAAGGCCGAGGTCGTCTTAGTGCAGGCCCAGCCGCAAAGGCTCGACCTGTTTACCCCACCTCCGCGTCCTCCGACTCCCCACCAGCCTCTGCCCGCGGAACCGCCATCAGACCGGACCGAGGGAGACAAAGAGCCCAAGCATCTTCCCATTCTCAAAGCCGCCAACATGAACCACCATCACACGCAGCAGCAGCAGCAGAAAGCCGGCGAGCAGCAGCTCAGCGAGCCCGAGGACATGGAGATGGAGGGTACGTCAAGGCCTTAAGCAAAAAACAAAAAGCTCACAGCCTCAAGTTTCATATAACAGCCATCATTTTCACATTAATCCCATATTTAACGAGTTAACTGTTTATTAGCAAGCCACTCTGTCGCATGTTTTGACCCCAATAGCTTGTTAGCCAGCAGCTAACGTTAACCGCTAAGTTAACGTTACCTCGCTGCATGAGGAGTTTAGCCAGTCAGCAAAAAGTCATTTTTATTTACCTTATCATATGCGTTATATTGCACTGTCACGTCGTTACTAGAAAACCCATTACGGTTGTTGTTTTTTTAAATAACAATACTGTTAATTTGCCCGTTACGTGGGGTGGATTTTGTTCTGTTACTAGCGCCTGGCTATGTGCTGCCTGCATTAACGTGGCGCAGCCCATCTTTAAGCCTTTCTATCCAATAAACTGTGTCAGATTTTCATCTGATTATGTAAGGAGCCCCTCGGCTACACCTGTAGATCCTGTGGGGAACTTTTGAAAGCACTATTGGGTTAATTGTCATAGATGAGCTAGTTATTTAGATGGGCAAATCCGCATTCGCATGCAGAATGGATAAACGTAAGTCGATAACATTGGTTTATGCTTTAAGTTGTGATTTAAAGGACGGATAAGCGTTTGTTGTTGATGCGATATGACAAGGGCATTCGCCCACTAATGTTAACTTGTTCACCATTTAATCTGGCAGTTTAATGCCCTTTCAGAACATCTGCTTGTTTAGACATTTCTGAAGAACCACTTCAATGAATGGCTTCCATCCATAGTCAGCAAATTCTCATGTTCAGTGCTAGTGGAGTCAAATAAACAGCATCACCGGATGATTGCTGGACAACAGCACCATTTTGAACTATAATTCGCTCTTGAACTAACGTTACATAGAAGATGACGAGCTGTCTGTGGGATATCTAACCTAATCGGTTAAGTTGCATTCAGTTGTTGTTACCGTGTCTTATTAATGTTACTGTTGTTGTTATTGGCTTTGGATGTGAGCCGCATATGACGTTGTGCAGCTCGATT